AATCCAATAAAACTCGTTCTATAGCAATGAACATATATGTACATACAAATTTTAAGTAGCAGAGAAAGAATTTAAAGTGAACAAACGAATTAACAGAAAAAACCCCAATATACTATATAAGTAAATATAGAATTAAGTACAAAAAACCACTGATAATGATTACACAAATCGATACATAGAACAAGTCACAGCATCGGAGACCACGTTAGTTATAAGAGGTGATAACGCAAAACATGTAAATGGCGGACCTTCATCAAATTACATGCTAGATGCCAACAGTTGAGTTTGAAAAATTTAGATATTTAAACAAACGGAACAATGAGATACAAGTTTTTAACAATTACCAAATTATCATTCGATTGTGTTTAATTTGAGTCGAACAATTAAAAAACCTCGTTTTTAAAATCTCAGAAGCTAAATTAATTCGCTTGTCAGTTTAGAAATTTAGATAACCAACAACTCGGACTAATTTGACGCCTTGATTTTTCATAACTTTCCCAACTCTATTACTAGAATGAAATCACTAAGAAATATTCACCAGTATATAATCTCCGCTTGTCTCTTAATCAACAAAAACGCTGAAATTTCGGCACAAGGTTCCTATTGTTCAAACGAATGAACAAATAAACATTGTAAACCAACATTCATGAAACAAAATAAAGATATGGTTTAGCTTGATAACAGTTTGATAATAGAGAAACGAAAAAAGCTCACCTCGGTTTGACCAGGAAACAAACGCAATTTTTCACCTCCTAATAACTTTCTTATCTCTACGACTGACCCTCCCCACGTTCTTTTATCACCTCGCACCGCTAATGCAAACGATTCGCGTGCGCGGAATGTTATTCTCGGTCTCCTGAAAACACGCTCTACTAAACCTGGAAAGATAGAAACACTCGTCGTTGCCTCTCCGTCGTCCCCGCTTACTCTCCTACTAACTGCAGCTCAGATGAGGTAAAAGACTAGTTTTACAGAAAGCTTTCTGACCTCCTCCAAAGTGTTAGGCGCTCTGATGTAGTAATAGTAGCTGGTGACTTTAATGCTCAAGTAGGTAAACTAAGCGAAAAGGAAAGACTCCTGGGTGGATCTTATGGTGTCGTGGCTCGAAGAACAGATAATGGTGAGTATATTACAGCTATACTCAGATAACCGCCTGTTTCTTGCAGATACTAACTTTAAGCATAAGTAACAATATCTTTTAACATGACGACCTCCGAATTCGTACCAACGTTGAACTACACTAGATCACATCGCTATCAACCACCGATGGAGGAGCTCGATAGAAGACTGTCACTCGTTCTGGAACACATGCTTAGAATCAGTACCTCTCAGGGTTGTACTTAACGATAACCAAGCTAAGTATATATTTCAGGAACAACTAGAAAAACAGTTAGGCAGTCATGTAAGTGATACCCACACTGAGGCAGCTTGGAATGATATTTGAGAAGCTGTGAAAACAGCAGTGATATCTGCTAGTTAAGGCAAGTTGATGTAAGTTCCCCAACTCTTTACGAAGTTGAAAAAGCTATAGGACATCTGAAGCAAGGGAGAGCAGCAGGCCCTGAGAGGTTTACCCCTGAGATTTTCAAGGATGGTGGTCCAGTATTAGCAGTGACATTGACCGAGGTCTTAGGTAGAATCTGGTCTCAATCACTGAATGTGCCAGTCTATAAGAAAGGACAAAAGTCCCCTTGTGACAATCACAGAGGAATCAGTTTGACTAATATAGTGTCTAAAATATTAGCTTCAATAATACTTCGACGCCTAACTAAAGCTCGTGAAGAGCAGACTAGAAAAAATCATGCTAGTTTCCGACCTGGACGTGGCTCTATAGATCAGATATTCACACAACGTCAGGTTCTAGAACATAGAAACACATTCAGACGCCCCACCATAGTAGTACTTCTCGACCTTAAAGCAGCATTCGACTCTGTTGATCGTGAGGTTCTATGGCAGTGTTTGTCACTGGAAGGAGTACGAAGAAGCACATTAACCTTGTAAAGGCTCTCTACTCAAACACAACTGGTCGAGTGAGAGCTCATGGCGAACTGTCATCAGAATTGATCACCTCAAGTGGCGCTAGTCAAGGCTGCCCACTGCCTCCATTCTTGTTTAACTTTGTGATTGACGTACTTTTAGAGATAACACTTTCCTCATCTAAATTCCCAGGAGTTCCACTTCTACCAGGAGATTCACTTTTTGACCTAGAATATGCCGATGACATAGTTCTATTTGGTGAAGACGCTGACAAAATGCAGTCTTTTGACCACTGTAAGCAACAATGCAAGCATGTTCGAGATGCGATTCTCCACTTTGAAATGCAAAATGTTGCTTCAGTATTGGGTTGCATCGACACCCAAACTAATGATAGGGAGTGAAGTAATTGAACTTGTCAACCGCTTCACTTATCTTACAAGTCTCATCAGCCCTTGTGGTCTGGTGTGTGGTGAAATCTCAGCACGGATACAGAGGGCTCGAATAGCTTTTGCCAACTTACGTCATCTATAGTGTTGGCGAAATATCTGTCTACCAATCAAAGGACGGGTTTACTGCGCACCAGTTCGTTACGTCCTACTTTATGGCAGTGAAAGATGGCCGGTAAGAGTAGACGATCTTCGCAGGTTACTAATATTCGATCATAGGTGTCTTCGAAGCATTGCTCGTATATCCTGGGACCACCGAGTAAGTAACGAAGTTGTTAAGAAACGAGTACTAGGTAAGATGGCAAATCGATTGATGATATAGTGAAACTTCATCAGTTGAGATGGCTGGGACATGTGTTACGTATGCCCAACCACCGAATGCCCCGACGTGCGATGTTTTATGGTATAGGAGTAGATTGGAAGAAAGTTAGGGGCTGTCAGGCCAACACATGGCACAAATCCATGAAGTCACCGACAAGTGGACTAAGTCATGTTGGTAGGTGTACACTAACTGGTTGGGATCCGTAAGACGATAGCAACCGATGGCTAAATACCTTGAATGACATGACTCAAAATCGTTTGCAATGACGCGGGTGCACCCACTCTTTGTGTTCTCCCAAATTCTAATCTTCTGAATTATTCACGTCTTCAAATTTATTTCACTAAATTATTCTCCTTGAATAACATCTCCAAACCATAATCTTTCCGATTACTGCTTACACTTTTACTACCTCTACCACCATGGGGTTTGAATGGACAATCGTATCTGTGTGCTAATGTGGTATGGCAACTCAAACTGATGTACGTACGCACGAAGTTCTACGTTGTTACTGAGTGACTGAATACAGATTTTGATTTACGATTATCCATACAATAATTTATTAAATAACGTCCACTTATCATATTTCATCACCACTCCTAGTATGAGTTACTAAACAGAATAATCGATATAAGGATTGGTTATGGTGTGGTATTCATTAAAACATGAAATACAGGCATTGGTAAGGACGTGATTTATTTATTCAGGTCAAAACAATTTCAACCAGTGAACTACGGTTTCGAACCCTGCTCCATCCAATGAGGTTTGGATGATCAGTTATATTTAATATTAGACTAAGAGAATGATTTATAACCCTGGTCCAACTGCATCAATTTAGACAACTGGTTAGTATAGTTAGCTTTCACATTCAGCACGTGGCTTGAAGGTAACTACACTAACCTGGGCCTAGTAAATGAAATAATCTAACGCTCAAACATAAGAAATAATTGCATACAGACTAATAAATGGAAGTCGATAGATAATACAAGTAACAACAAGATCCTGATTTCTGTTTTATTGCCTTCTCAGTAAGAAATTCTCAGTGAATTTGAACTACTGCTAGAGGACATACACTGAATACTTAGGCAGATAAGAAAGAATTGTGTAGAATGGTTAGAGACGATCAACAGGAAATCGTGAGCAGGGTTTTATGCTTGTAGGGAATTATCGGTAATATGTATTAACAAGACATAAAACATTAGTTTGCTAATGATCGAAAATAAACCTAGGTGGCGATTATCGGTAAAAACGATATTTTCATTTAGAATAACCTGCCAGATGCTTTCAATCATACATCAACAAATGTCACCATACAGCTGATTGACTTCATTCAGAATACATCATTAATTTGAGTGACTAAATTCGGTTAATAGATTAGATTATCTCGAAATTGGATTGATTACCAAAGGTGACAAGTTTAACATAGCATATAAGTTTATGCATAACTAAACATACTACATGAATTGCTCACTAATAGCCCATGATGTCTTCCTTGTTGAAATATACCAAAGAAACAAGTCCTGATCACAATGACTTGTTAATAATGTTTGACTACATACTCCAATCTACTACTCTCATAACGTTTAGATGGATTGGTGAGGCGGTCTCTTGTGTATAACTGAGGCTAATGCTCCAGTCAGTTAGTCACATATAACGTAGAACCTGACACATGTGAGTCAGTTCAAGTTGCCATATAACATAATCACAGAGATAGAATTATTAAGACAAATATCAGCAGTGTAGAAGTATTGACAATATCATTAGTAACCAAAAAGATTAGGTGTAGAAAAGAAACAAAAAGGTATGGGATTTAGAGAAAATAAAGTGTAGGAACCTGTGCCACTGAGCACGAGTTGGAGCCATACACCACTCACAATCTGTAATCATTGGTTTTGACAGTCACCCCGAACAGATAATGTGCACCAACCTACACGACTCAATGCAACGGGTTAATGACTTTATGGACTGATAACACGTTCTGGTTTGGTCTCCCCTAGCTTTCTTTCAGCCTACTACACCAGACATTGCCCGTCGAGACAGACAGTCGTTGGGCATACATGTTGTAATCACCTCAATTGATCAAGATACACTACCTCATTAACCAATGACTAGTGTTCCGATACAGATACAGAATGATTTGATATCCATTTTACAAAGAGGATTGGAAAAAATCAATAAAGAAAAGTTATCATTTACAGCTATTCAGGTCACTGAATAATGATGAAACTGGTACAAATCTGTTTTTATAACAATAAAACTCATAAATTTACTGCCATACACAGACTTACTCCTTCTGGAGTGATTGTGAATCCAGAAGCCTTTTCAACGATTAATTCCTTTAGTTCTCCACATGCAGGATTGTCTATGGAACTCTTAGCTTTGATTTGTTGTTGAATTTCTATACTTTTCACTTCATCAATATTTGATTTGTTATTATTACTGCTTAGTGAGAATCCAAATATTCTTCCTGATAGAGATGATGATTTCTTTATATTTACTTCGACACCAGATTCTTTATAACTCTGTCCATAAAAAATACAGATGGTTATTTCAAAGAAATTTGTTGAATAATAACCATTTTGACAAACATTAGGAAGCAATTTAACATTAGACTGGATTGAGTGAAATTAGAACTTACTTACTTACTTACTTTCGCCTGTTACTCCTAATGAAGCATAGGCCGCTGACCAGCATTCTCCAACCCACTCTGTCCTCGGCCTTCTTTTCTAGTTCCATCCAATTCTTGTTCATTTCTCTAATGTCCATTTCCATTTCCCGGCGTAATGTGTTCTTTTGTCTTCCTCTTCTCCTTTCGCCTTGAGGATTCCATGTGAGGGCTTGTCTTGTGACGCAGTTGGGTGCTTTCCTCAATGTGTGTCCTATCCACTTCCAGCGCTTCTTCTTGATTTCTTCCTCCACTGGGATCTGGTTTGTTCTTTCCCACAGTAGGTTGTTGCTAATCGTGTCTGGCCAACGGATCTGAAATATTTTGCGTAGACAATTGTTAATAAACACCTGTATTTTCTGGATGATGGCTTTCGTAGTTCTCCAGGTTTCTGCCCCATACAGTAGAATTGTCTTGACATTTGTATTGAAAATCCTGACCTTGGTGTTGGTTGACAGTTACTTTGAGTTCCAGATGTTCTTCAGTTGTAAATATGCTGCTCTTGCTTTGCCGATCCGCGCCTTCACATCTGCATCAGATCCACCCTGTTCATCAATGGTGCTGCCCAAATATGTAAAGGTTTTTACATCTTCCAAATCTTCTCCGTCAATTGTGATTGGATTGGTGCATGCTGTGTTGTATCAGAGAATCCTGCTTTTCCCTTTGTGTATATTGAGACCTATTGTTGCTGAGGCTGCTGCCACACTGTTCGTCTTCTCCTGCATTTATTGTTGCGTTTGGGATAGAAGGGCCATATTATCTGCGAAGTCTAGATCGTCCAACTGCATCTTAGATGTCCATTGTATCCCGCACTTCCCTTCAGACGTTGACGTCTTCATGATCCGGTCGATCACCAGGAGAAAGAGAAAGGGTGAGAGTAAGCAACCTTGCCTTACATCGGTCTTTACTTCGAACGACTTGGCCAATTGTCCTCCATGCACAATTTTGCAGTTTAATCCACCATAGGAATTCCGTATGATATTGACTATCTTCTGAGGCACGCTGTAGTGTCGAAGAAGCTTCCATAGTGTTGTTCTGTCCACGCTATCAAATGCCTTTTCGTAGCCAATGAAGTTGATGTAGAGTGATGAATTCCATTCGATTGATTGTTCCACAATGATCCGTAGAGTTGCGATTCGGTCTGTACACGATCTATCCTTACGGAATCCTGCCTGTTGGTCACGAAGTTGGGAGTCCACGCAGTCCTTCATCCTGTTTAACAATACCCTGTTGAAGACTTTTCCCGGTATTGAGAGAAGAGTGATGCCCCTGTAGTTATCACACTTGCTGAGATCGCCTTTCTTCGGTATTTTGATCAGAAGTCCTTCTTTCCAGTCTCTTGGTACTTGTTCCTCATCCCAAATCTTATTGAAGAGAATATGGAGTATCCTTGCAGTTGCCACTACGTCTGCTTTAAGTACCTCTGCTGGGATGTTGTCCGGTCCTGCTGCTTTGACACTCTTAATTTGTCTGATGGCCATGCTGATTTCTTCAATTGATGGTGAGCCAACATTGATTGGGAGGTCCGTGGGTGCTGCTTCGATGTTGGGTGGGTTCAGTGGAGCTGGTCGATTCAAGAGTTCTTTGAAGTGTTCTACCCACCTGTTTCGTTGCTCTTCAATGTTGGTGATTACCTCGCCTTCCTTGCTTTTCACTGGTCGTTCAGGTTTGCGGCGACTTCCAGAGAGTTTCTTTGTCGTGTCACACAATTGTCTCATGTTTCCTTCTCATGCAGCCTTTTCCGCCGTCCTTGCTAAATCTTCCACATCTTTGCGTTTGTCGGTTCTGATGCTCCTCTTCACTTGTTTGTTAACTTCTGTGTATTCAGCTTGTGCCGTGGCTTTTTCTGCTCTTGTTCGACTGGTATTGATTGCTGCCTTCTTGTTCCTCCTTTCTTGAATCTTATCCAGTGTATCAACAGTGATCTATTCCTTGTGATGGTGCTTCTTGTGACCCAGGACCTCATGACATGTTGAAGTGATTGCCTCTTTGATCCCCTTCCAGTTGCTCTCCACAGTAGTTCCTTCTCCATTGAGTAGATCATGAAAGGCCTGTAATTTGTTGCTGAAGACTATTTTGAATTTGTTGAGTTTGTCAGTGTCTGAAGAAAGGCCGTATTGAACATTTGTGATGTGGTCCGCCCCATTGTCCAGTGCTTCTTGAGTTTCAATTTCATCTTGGCGACCAGCAAGTGGTGATCTGAGGCTATATCAGCTCCTCTCTTGGTTCTCACGTCCTCCATCGTCCTCCTGAACTTTTGTTGATGCAAATATGGTCGATTTGATTTTGCGTGGTGTGATCCAGTGAAGTCCATATGGTTTTGTGAATGCGCTTATGTGGGAATATGGTGCCGCCTATGACCAGCTTATTGAAGGCACATAGGTTTGCAAACCTCTCACCATTTTCGTTTCTTTCTCCCAGTCCGTGTTGTCCCATGACGTCTTCATATCCAGTGTTGTCCACTCCAACCTTGGCATTGAAATCTCTCATCAGAATGGTCAGGTCCTTTGTTGGGCACTTCTCGACGATTGGCTGCAGCCTATTGTAGAATTGATCTTTAACGTCTTCATTGTAGTCGTTGGTAGGCGCATAGCATTGGATGATGTTCATTGAAATACCCTCTTTGTTTGTTTTGAAGGAGGCTTTGATGATCCTTGGTCCATGAGATTCCCATCCTATAAGCGCATTTTGAGCTTGTTTGGACAGCATCAATGCAAGTCCTTGTGTATGTGGTGCATTTTCTTCTTTAAGGCCGGAGTATAACAGAAGCTCTCTTGAAGTTAGTCGTTGTTGTCCAACTTGCGTCCAATGTGTTTCACCGATCCCAAGCACCTCTAGGTTGTATCTCCTCATTTCTGAAGCAATTTGGAAGGCTCTCCCGGTGTCCCACATTGTACGAACATTCCATGTACCTAGACAAATGGTCGCTCTGGTTGTCAGAAGGGTCATCGGCCTCGTAACTTTCGAAGGAATTCGGCTTTCATCATGAGGCGTCATAGTTCTTTTAAATGAAGACCTTCTGACTCCCAGGGTAGAGTTTAAAAGGTCTGAATAATTTTTTCTGGTTAGCGTTTTTTTAGCGAGTTAGTTTTCACGGAATGGGGTAGCTAACCCCATGCCCAACCCTCCTCCTTTATCCAGGTTTGGGACCGGCAGTAGCCCCCGGAAGGACTACAGGCGAAATTAGAACTGACAGGGAAAAATTAAAAGCTAACTATAGTACGAATTATATTATTTATCACTGAGTTCCTGAGTACAAGAAAACGAAGCATTATCATTGAAATTCACTTAACTGACTGATTTTCTAGTATTTAGAGAATATTTTGTTGCAATAATCGTTAAATTAATAAAAACAGTTGATTTCTTGGTTTTTATTTGATAAAACATTTTCATGTATCACCAGTTAATATGTTAATAGAAGTCAGTCAGCTACAACGTAGGACCAGGCACATATATGCATCGGTCCAGGTTGCCAGATCGCATTAGCACAGCAAGATCAACACCGGATTCATAGAAGTGGTTAATTCTATGGTGTAATATATAAAAGAAAGATTGCATATAAAGACATAATACAGGAAGAAAGAATTAGTTCATAGAAAGAAAGATTTGAAGCGATTTTAATCTCTTAGTTTAAGGGATGACAGAGAGTGTATACACCGACGCCATTGTGACCTATTCTGAGCCATGTCACCAAGAGTCTCCAACCATTGGTTACGATAGTCACGCGGACCCCAACCAAGTAGTCTGCATCTACCAACATGGCTCAGACTAGAAGTTAGTGATTTCAAGCACTGATGCCAATGTTAATAGAAATGTATACAATAAAATGAGGTGACAACATACGTATTACTAATGATTATCATAGTCAAACTAATTTATAAAAATAAAAGAGGAAATTAATTGTCGCTAGTTTATTAACATCAAATACTAAACACTGATGGCAAAAAAAAACATTTGAGTGAGGGGAAAAACTGGACTATTATATTTCGTCATCGATAAGCTAACTATGCCATGTTAGGCTGTTGTAGGTAGACGACAGGAAACCCTGGACCTAGATTTCGTGCCAATTTCAATCTTGAGGGAACCGGTACTCCGCACACGATCTGAACACAAGTTACTAGGTCACAGTTTAAGATATAGTGATGAGCCGTTTATACGGCGACTGACTTCAGATAAAACTAGGATATACACATCAGTTCATCATTAAGTAGTAATCAATCTTGTGCTTGTCTAGTCCTTGGTTCTGACTAAATTCCAGTTCCTCTTATGTAACCACTACAATCTATCAGTATTAGTAAGTAGGCGTCTAAATATGATAAGGTATTTACCATTAACTTCTTCTCCCAACATTTCGAACATCCTGTACAAATTGGAGTATAAGTAAGGCGAGCGAATTTCACACGACTTTGTTCCAGCTTTTTTTCAGATATAGTGACTGGAGAATCTGCGAAAAAATTCAATGAAGTTTTAGAATCACTATGAGGATATATTTGAGCATTGTTTTCAGATGATCGAAGCCAATACCAAGTAGATCTCCACAATGCACCAAAATTACGACTCCAAGATCTAGGAGATGAAACTGAAAGTGTTGTGAGTACACCACGGTGATTGTTAGGATTTGTTGGCTTTTTATGCCTATCACTAACACCACAACCCCCACCAAGTTCTATATCTCTCCAAATATTCCATTCAATACCTAATAAAGAATAAGTATTCGCAGATGACGCCTTTGATTGTTCAATTGGTTGACTATCCTATTTGAAAAGTTATAAACAAACAATTTCAAAACATTATAAGTCACCTAAATAAAATGATTTCCATGTACAAATTACATGATAGGTAAGAAATGTGTAGAAAGAATGATACTTCGTAGATGAGATTGCTTATTTCAAAAAGCTTTTTAAATGGCATAGATCACTTTGTGATGTAGCCAGGATGAATACAGAATTCAGACTGAAGGCATATATCACCAAGTGTGTTTACACAATAAGTTGAAAAGATTTTCGTTTGTATTCTCATGAGGTTTAAGAACAAATACTAATAATTACTGGTACTAATCAGTTGATTTACAAATAATTTAGTAAGCCCATTGTTCATGAAGATGATGAAACACTAGTTAACATATGCCTTTAATATTTCAGCTTTTCTAGATTATTTTAATTCATCCACATTTTACTTCCTCTCTTAATCAATGAAGCAGACTATTTCTATCTTCTCCTATCCTTGGCTAACTAGAGTAAGAAATTCAGTTGTTGTAGAGAAGCTTTTCTGATTGAGATCCAGTAGAATTCAAAATACATTTAAGATCAGTGATACATTGATTTAAATAATTAAAATTTAGGAACTGAGAGATTTTCAATCAGCACACATCACGAAAATACGCCGAAAAATTTATACGGTGTATAAATTAATCATTAGATACCCGATATATTACATGAACCTTTAAAATAAACGTTTTAACGGAAATTCTCTCAAATAACTAAAGTTATAATGAAATTAGGAGAGAAGGTAACATATTCACATACATGACTGTATTTATCCTTCAACTTATGGATCAACCGATTTCTAAACATAAAATGAAAAGCATACTCACAAAACGCCCAGTAGTTCATGGGAGTTGAACTGACAATATGTGTAATTCCAACTATTCTATATGCTAAAATTCCATTTTATTCGTAATGCCAAGTTGTAGTAGGTTTTACGTGGATTCAATAAATAATACTGTTAGATAATTCCCATTTAAACATTAAAAATTAAAAACACGAAGTTCAGCGAAGGGATCTCTTTTCAATGAATTGATTATCAAGCTGTACAATCGTGTATATATGAAAGCATTTTTTGTTTTTACTAAAGTACTAATTCCGTGAGGAAATGTGAACACAATTAACCATGATGTAATAAAAAAGGTTTATAATACTAGATTACGTAATACGAATAATAACAATAGATTTTTTTGATTGAGATCATGCACCGATTTATGTTAGACTACCACAATTGAAAACCTGGAAGCATCGGACGGCCATTTCGTCCTATTGTGGGACTCCTCAGCAGTGCGCATCCACGATCCCGCTCACGGGATTCGTTGATTAAAATGATTAAAACGTTTTTGTCGTAATACTGTAACTTATTTAAACAGTCTGTAATTATTTTTGCATATCAGCGGTTCCCTTTGTTAAACTGAATAGACAAACAATAAAAAACTGTATATACACTTTTTGTCATGTATGAATATAATTCATTTAATGTCAAACCCGAGATAGCCTTGCTTTACGAAAATAGCCGTACCTGCAGTTTAAAAATCCCCATAGAATATTCTATATTGTTGAATAACAAGTTTTGACAAGGATTTGAAATATTGGTTACATAAAGTGTAAAAGTACAAGCCTACGTCTGACAAAATAAATGTCTGAGATAGACTCGATTATACAGCTTTATACGAACAAAGTCAATTGTATCAAATGACAATTGGGTATACGTACGTGTAATGTCAATGTAATAAATAAAAGCCTACCATTTATTTACCAAACGTCCAAATGATCCATTTCACTTTATTGAAACATGGTGCTCTAGCTTCAATTCACTCATGATCTCAACTATTTAAATAAAAAAATGGGACTACCATTCACGTGATAGTGATACATTTATACGTTTTATAAAATGTCTATATCAATTAATGTGGCACTTATCTGTAACAGTGTTACATGCAAAATGTAATAAGAATGTTTCAATATAGTGAAAGGGATTATTTGGACGTTTGGTAAATAAATGGTAGGCTTTTATCTATTACATTGAAATTAAACGTACGTATACCCAAATGTCATGCGATACAATTAACTATGTTCGTATTAAGCTGTATAATCGAGTACGTCTCAGACATTTATTATGTCAGACGTAGGCTTGTACTTTTACACTTTATGTAACCAACATCTCAAATCCTTGTCAAAAAATGCTAAGCCCAATTGACGAGCACAATAATCGATTCACATGACTACTTACATAGACACGTATTTTTTGTCATAATTTTAAACTGCTCAACAACAAAGAATATACAGTTAAAAACAATTAACGCTTTTAATGGATTAGCAAAATAAAGCAATTTACACTCCTGCATTTATTTATGATACCATTTTTCCGGCGAAACTAAACAACTATTTTGTACTAAGAATTACTGTTTGGAAAAGAACCCAATCACATAAATATTATTTGCTACTCTCTGAGTACAATGAAGTTGGTTTACATTTCGATTAAAACTCGGATGGAACAGTCAGACAGAATTGTTCATTTTTATTGGAATAGTAGAGATCATGAGCGAGTTGAAGCTAGAGCACCATGAAAAACATGTTAGTGTCTAACTTCAAGTAATCCATGAAATTTTTATAAATCTCAATTGATTATATTGCTTAATCACTAAGGCTTAATTAGAATTCATCAATGTTGGTTCAGTTGACCTTTCCTATAGAAATGATGTCGTTGTACTAGTGAACTGGTAGTACTACATTCGTCTATCGTAACTACATGACAAAACACTGAAACATTCTGAATAGGTTTTGCATGTACTATTGTTAGACAGATAAGTGTTCATGAGATGACATTTCCTATACGAAATCGTTTACTTAAACCGTGTATTTGACAAAGCTTAAAAAGCGTTTACTAATACATGGACGATAATCACATAATGATTATTAATCTTAAATGAATTTTGATGGTTTCATCACTTGACCTTTGCCATGGAAATAAGGAATTGAAATAAAATAATTCAAATCACATTGTGGGTGGCCCTGAAAAGGTCCTTTACTCGTTCTCTTAACAGTTCGGAATTTCATGAACAAAGGAGTTGTTATGATTCCGTTATAGCGCCGCACATGGGACAGTGGATTCCATGGACATGTGGTGACGGATGATAAGCACAAAATAAATGAAACATTGCTTCGCATCGACAAAAAATTTAGGCACTTCCGTCAGCAAGATGACAGAAGGACGTTGAGTGTTCACGGAAGTCCTTTATGAAAAGTTATGATAACACTAGTCAAATTACCTCCTTCGATCGATAATAAAAATTGGTCGTCTATATTAACTAATTAGCTTTGATGGTTGGTTAACAAGCTTTAATAGCATTTACATGTTTAAACACCAAGCTCTAGCAACTATGACCTGTAAATAACGTAAATATACATTGATTAACAATGCTATCAAGGACTAAATAGTTATCTAGATCTAATTCTTAGTGTTCCTTCACTTAACACCTCATCCTGTTTTAGACTATGCACTATCCTGTAATATATTTTCTTCCGACCACTGCCTGCCTAATTTCATATTTTCGAGTTCCATTGCCAAACAAAAAGGATGACACTACTCCAAAAACATACGGTGAGTTTCAGCTATAAGTTTTCTGCAATCATAAGGTCACTTTAGATGGCTCGTTCAGTGGCAACCACTCAATTATCTGGATTCATTCAATTGTTCTGATCCGAGCGAGTGGCAAAAACGTCAACAACATCAAGCACCCTGGAATTAATTGTCATACTGCTATGTTTTATTCTGGATGCTTCTGGATCATTACTACTCACGAATGGCGTTATATATGTCGTCCACTGAATAATCTAATTTTCAAAAATAATTCAGGCGAGTTCAATCATTTTACTGGATGATTTTTTGTACTTAACATGTATGTTTTCCAGTTGCTTCTGCCATATATTTGTAAGTGGCCCTAGGCTAAATGCAGTATCTTCTTATGGAATGTTTATAGCGCGTCATATTCCTGCCTGAAGTTCACAAGCAGTCTTAACTTTAAAATTATTTTTCTGGTCATGTTCATTATTTTTAAATTGTTATATACGTCAAGAACATGCATGTTAACCTGACCCGTACAAGCATTACATTATATCTTCATGTCTTCTAAATTTATAAATCAATAAACCCATCATAGTCGTTGTTGCTAATCATATCTAGGTTTATGGATTGGTTTATCATATTAGCAGCCTAAAATGCGAACATAGTTTAGATAACAAGATTGAAAACTTACGTACTATCAACTGCACTAGTAAAATAACTAAATTCTCAGGTAGTTGTTGGCTAAACAAACGTTTAAAATCAAAACTCTGGAGCCTAATGAAATTAACACTAGACGAATATTTTCGAATTGAAATTTCTAGTATGATAAGGTAGCTCTGATTCTTTAACGCTACAAATTTCTGATAATTTCGGATCACCTAAAGCAACAATACCTATTTTTCCACTGACTAATCCTCATTCAACCCTATAACTAGTTTAACATAATAGTTTCAGGATATCGTCATAAAGCATTGTCATGACTTGACAATCAAGCAATATGATTGATAAAATTAATGAAACTATTAACAAAACCGGTCAACAAATTGACTTATAATTATCACTAGTGTTGTTTTTCTTTTATCTTCATTCTAGAAAGATGATTACAGAATGTTTCTCTATCAGATGCTCACTCAGTAAATATCTCAAAACCTTGTCAGTCTAATTGGAGGTTTAGCGATACAATCATGCATGCAAATAATCAGTATAAGCAGTCGAGAGAATCTCCTGCAAACTGAAAATATCAATGTCGAATTCACGTGAACACTGACTAAGGTTCAAGCCATTATCATAGACATGAGTTGCGAGTGTACTTCCCTTGGTTACAACTTATGTCCTCCCTGATAATCACATGGGCGTCACTCACTGTTAATTATCTTGTAAAAACTAATTTAGCTGAATACATCTTTCAGCACGTCACCTAGTAATGTAGCATATAGACTTAACTGATTTCAATAACTTATAATCACTATATCTCGATTAAATCGTATACCGCCTTATGATAAACTGTATGCTTGCAACTAACTTGTATGCACCATCAGCCGGCATGTATAAATACAAATAAATAATCTGTGGTAACGCAGAACATTGAGTCTAGAGCATGTCTCTTACGAATACACTCATGTTCAACGACTTGTTCTTAGCTATCTGTCCAAAATTCACATAATTATCACTCATGTATTTAAATTTTGTTGTGATAACCATTCATGCGTATTAGTAGTGCTACTAAATTCTATCACGGTCAAGTAAAAATGAGGTTGAGAAAATCCCCCCGTAACTAAATAAACCGCATCAAACTAACTAGAACACTAGTTGGGATTCTTTTCCACGGTAATACTTTTGTTCTTTCAGTTAGCCTACCAAATGAGATGAAATTGGAAATCACATATGAACAGGTTACCGGCATAGTCGTAATTTGATTTCAGAATTTAAACTAAAACTAATATCAATATTAACATTTATATAATATTGATTGTTATTAATATATCTCAACAGAAAATACCTACTACCTATAAGTTAAGTTATTAAACAACGGCTATTAACACGCATCTTACGTTTTATTATTATTATTATTATTATTATTATTATTATTATTATTATTATTATTATTATTATTATTATTATTATTATTATAATCCTATTTTCTATAGCCCAAATAATTCTCACCCAAACTTTCATTTTAAGCGTGTTAAGCGTTAAACCGGACATTTTAAAATTATAACATGTATTTCCCGACCAAATACTGCCACCATTTGATTTATCTTTCAGCTTATCAATACCCGGAGGATCCCTACTATTCTTGGTAACCTCAGGCACACGACAATCCTATATAATTTGGTACCGAACCAATATCACGTTGGTTCTGGTGGGAGAGTAGTGTAGTGGCAGTGGACCACGTGGCCATGTGAGAGCATTTCTAGAGAGGGAGAGCGGACTTTCCCCACTCTCGGCTGTACCAGGGCATTTGGGGGCATCACCTCAGTCGGTGAAGATTCACAACTTCATCAACCGATTTACCATCATTCCCTAATACCCTGTGTCTAACCTCACTATTACTTACCCGGTGATCCATCAGTATGTCTATGATGAAGTTAAACAAAAATGGAGAAAGTGGACAGCCTTGACGAACACCACTCGAGGCTGCAAAAGCAAATGACTGTTCGCCATAAGCCCTGACTCGACTAGTAGTGTTCGAGTAAAGAGCCTTCACAAGGTTTATGTACTTCCGAGGTACGCCTTTCAGTGACGGACACTGCCACAGAACCTCTCAGTCTACAGAGTCGAATGCTGCCTTCTAAGTCAAGAAAGACCACCATTGTCGCACGCCGATAAGAATGCCTTTGTTCTAGAACCTGACGAATGGTGAATATGTGGTCGATGCAGCCACGACCAGGTGTGAAGTCAACCTGATTTTCTCGTGTTTGCAGTTCACACGTCATTGTTATGTGCACAATAATTATCGAGGCTAGTATTTTAGATGCTATGTTAGTCAAACTAGTCCCTCTATGATTGTCACAAGATGATTTTGGGACAATAAGTGATTGCGACTAGTCAGATGGGATAACGTCTAACTCCCAGATCTTAGCTAAAATATTAGTCAGCCTAATCATCAAAATTCGACCACTATCCTTGAAGACCTCTGGAGCCGATCCATCTGCTCTTCCTCGTTTCAGATTAGCTATAGCCTTACGAACTTCAGCTAGAGTTGGGTGACCTACTTCAATGTTCCATTCACGCTAGCTGGGAATGTTGAGTAATTGTAGAGTAGCTGAAGGCCAGATGAACTGTTCTTTAAGGTGTTCCGCCCATCGTTCTAACCGTCTGGGCTGGGAGCAGATAATTGCCGTTCTTTTCCGAGATAGTTTCACTTACACTTGATGTTTAATTCCAGTTTCTTTTATGAGTCTGAAGAGCTGTCTTGTGTTACCTATAGCCACCGTCTTTTCCACCTATTTTGCTTTCGTTGTTCATCACTGCTCACGGTCGTTCCTTAGACTTTTGGTTAACCTATATCTGATTCGCTTTCGCTCATCATCGTGTTCAGAGCCTGATTGGATGAGTTTACGAGAACCCATCAGTGCAATAGACCTTAAAGGAATCCATTGGTTTTTTGTAACCCTTTGGTTTAAATCACTAATAGATGTCACTGCTGTTTCCACAGGTGTTTGTATATCTTAACTAAGTGTGACCTCAGTTGTTCCTGGAATCTACTTTCGGCTTTCTCATCACTCAATTTAATTCTAATGAGTCTTTTTAAGGTGGCTTCTCTTCGACCAGTGAGGTGAAAGTAAATGCGTGCCCGTATTAGGGCATGGTCGAAGTCCAAGCAGGCATTCCAGAACGAGCGACAATCTTCTATCGAGCATCTCCGTTGATGACTGATGGCAATATGGTCTATTTGAGTTCATCGTTGGTTTGGTGCAGGGGGTCGCTATGTTATTATCTAAATACTTTTTCAAATGGGTGTTACCATTTAGTTGTCAGAATATCTTTCGTGTTACTTAAATAAAAGTTACATTAAAAATGTATCCTATGTACAAATTCAAGTTATTTACAAGACAACTCATAGACATGCTACACAATTCAGTACTATCTCACGGCTCTTGTATTTATTTAACATTCCAGACATTTACTCATTAGCTTAAGCCAATGCAAATAGCTTCGTTAGGTGATTTCAGTACAACGTGATTTCTAGCAGGCTTGTTACCTGATCCCTGCCGGGAAATCAGGTTGATATTTTTCATTTTAGTCAGCTACTTTAAGCTCCACTTGTCTCCATTTCTCTTTTATTGTGAAATTCAAATTAAGTGCATGGTGATGGTGCAACACTAAACTGGTGACCATGATAGAGAAAAAGAAAAAACGTATGTTTAAAACAATATATGACAATAAAACCAACAAATATGTTAAAACCAATAAAACAAAATGTGTGAATAAAGTGCAAAATCATGAAATGTGCAAGATAAAATGAAAAAATAAATACGAATTATGGTATTTACCATGAACCACATTATATTGTGTGGTTATTTAACAGATAACTTAGTTAGTTAAGATGAATGATGATGTCATCATTTACCCAACTTCTGTTGAGGATATGTCAGCCCTGATGTACGGCAACCATTCATCAGGAGGTTTCACCATGAACAAGAATGTCTCAATTAATGATGCAACTTCAATCAATGTTTTATTATCATTCTTGTATGATAATGCATCCTCTAAAGGCCTGCCAATCACATCCCAATTGATTGGAGGTTCCAGCACCCCATATTCCTTAAGCTTGTTCTCAACCTCTTTGACAAGAATTTTGGATGACCGCAGTGCTGCTTGTTGGTAAGATTTCAAGTTACTCAAGGTGCGTTTCTTGTCACCAATTACACTGTCACGTATAACAGCACTTGCTAAACTTAGGATGTTAGCATGTTGGCTGAATGGATAGGCCATATATCCCATTAATGGTGAACATCTCAACAAACAATGTATGTTGTCAAGGCATGGTCTATTAGCAAGACGCCTTGTCTTGTGGAGCTGAATGGTGCATGAGATGAGGCAGATAGGGAAGCACATTGCAACCCTTGAGAGTGTTATGGTTCTGCGCCTGTCCATTCCTCGTAAACTTGGTTTCAAATTATATTTCATTATAAGATTGTCTAGGATGGCGACACTCTCTTTAGACATACTCATTCTCATTTTTGAAATATTATTGCCCCAGATCATGAATATTGTCAACATGTCTTCGATGTCTTTCAACAATTTTTCACGTGTTCCTGACTTGTTGCACAGGTAGGAATAAATCCATTCTGTGTCCACACCTTCATATTGAAACAAATTAATTATGGACATGTCCACAGTCCAATTAAAAGCTTCTCTATTAAAAGCCACTCTAGTTTCTTGAAATTTATCGTATTCTTCAATGATCAAATTAGGATCTTTACACTCCTTCAATCTCTTAAAGAACTTCTCGGGAATCACTTCATTTGGTTCTTGAATTGTTACATCAGATTTTCCTGATGTGCTGGCCGTACTTTGATCCAAGGACTTGTTTTCTGGTTTCTCTTCAGCTGCTTGAATGGAATTTGAAAGCTGACATAATTTAAGAGGGTAAGTGGGGGGAAATGAGTGAATTAAAAGTTGGTTTAAGAGTTACATTTATCTATTTATATTGTGTTATATATATATATATATATATATATATATATATATATATATATATATATATATATATATATATATATACATATATATATATTCATTTATGTCAACTGTTTCACACTATTTCTTATCTCAATGTAAAATTCTATTACATATTTTGGTTGTAAGCAGCTGACGATAAACCTCCAAATATTATGAATTCATACTATACTGCATCAACATTTGTTCTTGCTTTATTTAAATTCATAAAAGGAACTAATTGCATGAGACTTGTTTCCTTTTGGAACAACAGGTTTGTTGGGCACGGTTGATTTATATATCTCGTTTTAAATTGTATGGAAGGTGCTGCTTATCGTTACCACTGATTTGCTCCGTTGATTAAAATGTCTGACTGTCGGTGTAACCAAGTAAGTTATTTTTTCATAGATTTAATATAATGGACACCAAATATTTACTTTTATTTGAACACATAAATATTGGTGCAAAGGGGCACCGAATACAATATGCACCACAACATCTCATCATATGTGTGTGTGAGCTGTGATACTGCCCGGGTGCCCAGACTGAAGCAGGTGGTTTTCTTAGGAGGCCACACCCCGAGCCTTTGACCTGAAGGTATGACACACAAGGCAGTGGAGCGTCGTGAGATGCATTCCCATGGTAGCCGGTGACCAACGACTGGTTCATACGCCATTTGTTCCCGCAGGATACTGGAGCCAGCCCATGTGCACCATTGGTTCGGGGTCCTGTTAAAGCATCGGACATTCACTTTTCGTCTTTTCATTTTCGTAAACAAAACCCCCGTCACGAGAAGGCAGTCAGTACGACTTCCTTGTCAGAGGCTGTATACGCATGGCCGTGTGAGATCATTTCGAGAGCGAGGGCGTGCCCACCCCACTCACAGACATACCAGGGCATTTCGGGGCAAATTCGTCCTGTAAATTTTTTTTATTGCACTTATTATATCTATGGCCTAATGTTCATTTCTTTACGTTTATGATATAATCTTCATCTGCTGTCCATCCATATATGGTTGATTCATAAAAATATGGCATTTGAAAATAAAGTGACTTGATCGATAGAACTGAAAACAGTTTTAGACATCAGGGTAAAATAGAAATTTCAGTAAGAAATTGTTATCTGCAAGACATGAAACTAAATTATACTTGCCCCCGAATGACCTGGTAAGGCCGAGGGTGGGGAAAGTCAGCTCCCCCTCTTGAAATGCTCTCACATGGCAACATCATTACAGCTATTGTCAGGGAAGGCCTACTCACTTCCTTCTCGCAGCGGTCGTGTTGTTTACCAAAGTGAGAGGATGAAAAGCGAATATACAGTGCTTTAACCGAGTTAGCGAATATGAAGGATACATATAGGAGAGTTGGAAAACCCTGATTCCAAACCAATGGTGCATATGGGCTGGCCCCAGGGTCATGAGGGAACGAATGCCGTATGCACCTATTTTTGGTCACCATGTACCATGGGACTGCATCTCCTGACGTCGCCCAACTGCCTTTTGGGCTAGACCTCTAGGTCAAAGGCTTGGGGAGTGACCTCCTAAGAAAACCACGTACTTCGGTTTGGGCGCCCGGACAATATTCCGGTCCTTGCAAAAATCGAATTTTCTGTGTTACGCATACATATTTGCTGCCTACTTATATATCAGTGTGTCTTAATAAATAAATAATAAGTAGACGAAAATACAAATATACTTGACAAGACTATAATTTATGGACGAACCAATCAGGTTTAATGTAGCTGGTCTTGGATTTCGGGGCGAAATTCATTCATACATATGACTAAATAGCATTTTAACATTATAGCCGACGTCAGTTCGCATTGAAAACCCTAACTATAATTTTTAACCCTAACTTACAATTTTAAGTCCAAATTATAATTCCAAACACTAATTTATGAACCTCTTTAGACGCTAGCTAGTAGGTGAAGTATTTTAAGTTCACCTTCACATTGCTCAAAGACTGTCCACAAATCAAATTTCCACATTAATCTCCATTTTGCGTTGAACTATGTAACCCATCCAGTGTTAACACTGAATGAGCGAACTCCCCTCATCCCCCATTGCATAATGAAAAATGTCAATTTCCATCCCATTTTTGTTAAGGTCAAGACTAAAAAGGCCGATTCTAGAACTAATTGTACGTAGCGTTACCATTATATGAGGACCTTTCTGAACACAAATCGTGTAGCAATTTCACCGACGTAATTTCTGATGAAAAAACCTGTCCATATATCAAAACAAAATGCCAACCCAACTAAATAAAATTGTCCTTTACCAACACAAGAGAGATTCAATCCAATTTCCCAGATTTATTGAAAATTTTATCATCAGACTTGGGGAAATGTGCATAAGAACTGCGAAACTAATTCCGATTCAGGATTTATTCTTCAGAAATTTTCAAGGACATTTGAGATTCCCATGATATGCCCTGAAAATTTACTCAAAGTTGAGGAACTCATCACACGAAGCAACGAATTATCCGAAACACTTAACACTTCATACAACAGACAAATCATATCCGCAAGTCAAGTGATGAGCTTTCGAGACGCAAAAGACACCATAAGTGGGGAAAAAATACTACAAGTGCGCATGCTGTCTAAATATTAAAATCACATAAGTGAGTCGAAAAAATTGATACAATTTATGGCTATACATTTACAATCAATATCCTTAACCGATACCCATGTGTGTTCATCGCTAACTACGGAGCACATATAGATTCCTATATCACTAGATAAGAAAGGATCTTCAAAGTAAATGCGTGGGTCAGTGAAATACCTAAATTTTAGTAGTCTATCCTCCTCTATATCAGTGACTAAACCAGGCTGTCCATTTACTATTATAACATTATCAGGCTTAAATGAAGTTATTTTAATATTCTGATATTACATTTAATTTCCTTCTCGACTTCTATCAATTAAACATACACTACTGTTAAAGCCAGTTACCTTTTACGGTGCTTTCATTAGCAAGCTCACTAAATGAAAGCAAGTTATGTTTTTTCATGAAAGCTGCTCGTATTTTATCCCACCTTCTGTTATAAGTCGATCTATGACAGCCAAGGACACTTGACAAGTTCACAGTCGCCCTACGTCTACGAGCTTTCTCAGTGACTTCAATTAAACTCATAGTATTGGAGTAACAAGGTATTTAGTTATAAAGAACATGAAAATCGGAGAGCAAGTCACTCACCTCCATCACGTAAGTTATTTGTGATTGACATTAAATGCACGGCCATTTTTGTATTTTTTTTCGAGTGGAATTTTTCTCATCCCTTTCGAAAAAATTTTGCATCCCCATCTTCCAATAATTTTTATTCTGTTTCATCCAATCAAATAGCTAGTTTTAAAACCCCAACAGACGTAAAGGCGAAAAGCGACATTTCCCCTTTTCGTCTTTACTTCCACTTTATTGGTTGCTTGGGGATAAAACACAGACAGTCGACAAAGTATAAAAATTTTGGAATTCTCAAATGTCAATCATGAGGAAGTTGGATATTTATTAGCTCCACGGCAATTTAAATAAAAATTCCACCCACCCTTCTTAAAAATGTTTTTTCAACCCAAAATTGCAATATTTTTCATCCCGTTTCGTCCAATGAAATGGCTAGTTTTAAAGTTCGTTTTTAATTTGTTAGTTATGTTTTGTCGGATTGTTATAAAACATCAGTACTTGTCGACGAAGAACATTTTAATCATCATTATGGAGGAGAGTAACGTGCCTAGTACAAGCGCTGTTGTTACTCACGTAACAGAAATGGAGGAAGTCTTTTTGACAACCTTGTTTCTCGTTGCGTTCCCATCGGTTAAAGCGTCGAAGTCCGCTATCACAAATTATGAAAGATCAACTTACTGTCATTATGTAGTTCGAGATTCGCATTTGTGCAGAAATGAAAACTCGTACATGAAATTTGTCTGCTGGAGACATGGCCGTATAACATCTAGCGGTTCGTCACAGCGGATCAGACGGAGGAGGTAATTTTATAAATGTTATTAACATTTTTTGTCATGAAGGGCTTCCATGAACACTCAATGTCCGGCCTTCATGTATTGTAAGATTATCGACGGCTACTGGACTGTTGTACGTGGGAATGTACATCACAATCACGAGTGCAATTACCTGAGGTACCAAGGTAATTCATGGGTGCGCAGGTTAACAGAGGCCCAGTTTGAAAATGTGCGACCGCTGCTAATATCTGGTACTGCTTCATTCCACATTAAGAATTATGCTTACCATTCTTATGGGAAGCTACTGAATGATCAAGATATCTATAATATGCGGTACAAAGTGTTCTCACAGGCGAACATTCCTGGTAAGCCATTTGCCAATTTATAATGTAAACGATAGGTGATTACGGAAAATTGAAAGCGCACATAACATCTTTGGGTGGGCTATGCGAATACGAATTAGACGATGAGAACTGTCTATCGTAATTTTTCTTCACCACTGGTGATCAAAAGAATTTTGCAGATCGTTTCGGTGATGTTATTGGTTTGGACGGAACATACAAGACGAATAACGAGAATATCTATTTATATCAGGTCGTAGCCCTTGATATGAATTTGAAGGCAATACCCGTTTGTATTGCATTTATAAGTCGCGAAACATCGACTTTGATTTCTCGATTCCTGTCGTTCTTCCAACGGTCAACCAACAGTCGACAGGTGGTAGGCATTGTGACAGATGATTCACCTGCAATAGCTGCTGCCATCATGCAGGTGTATCCCAATGCTCACCATATCTTGTGTCGTGTCCACCGTGTTCGCAATGTTATAAAGTGTGTAAGTGTTTCGTTCATTAACATTAACTCAGTAACCTTAATTGTAGAGGGTACGATCAGAAGTGATACAAATATTTTTTCGCCTGATGTTTATTCAAACGGTTGAAAGGTAAATCAAAAGCAACATAACATTATTTTGTAGTTTTAACAATGTATTATCATTGATCGAAATATCGGACGGAACGTTTGCCCAATATGTCAGAGACCACCTATTACCGAGAAAACACAAATGGTCTACAGCTTTTCGACCATTAGCAACGCTACTTCAACTCAATAATACGAACTTTGTTGAGACAAATCACCGAATTTTGAAGATGCATCAACTGAGTCGAAAAACACCTGTCCTGAGGTCTATTTTTAGTGTGCTACTTCGCGTTGGATATTGGATGGAAGCAAGATTACAGAAATATACATCAGATTGCCGGGTAAAAGCCAACATCGACCAGGAGCCAGCAATGCGTGGACTTCAGGAACGACTAACACCAGCTGCATGTCAAGTACTGAAGCGGCACCTGCGCACTCCTATAACGGAGTTTGCAATGCCTGTTGACTTATTCACGGCTGTGGACGCAACAGGCACTTACAATGTACACCGTGATTCCATGCGCTGCTCCTGTTCATTTTCCATTGAAAACGGTTTGCCATGTCGGCACATATTGGCTTACTGTACACACAGTATGACTGATGTGAACTTACAGTCAATTTGTGATAGGTGGTTACACTCTGATACTTATCTGACTCGTATTGCAGTTGAGAATTATTTCCCAATGCAATTGAGCCACCCGAGCATGAAGAATACAGTGATTGCGTTAGTCAGGCGATTGTCTGAGGAACAATGCAGTTCACTTTATAGCAATTTGATCAAGAACTTCACGGTAGACTACCACCAACGCCTTTGAACTTACAGGCAGAACCGCAGTTGTACACTGGAACAAGCATCTCGACTAACTTTACAACGCAGTTGATGCACCGAGGAAATGTTGATTTGGATGAAACGTTAAGTAACGACGAGGATGACGTAGTTTCTATAAACTCAGAAGAGTTAACAGAACGGGACATCCAAAATGAAGAAGATGAAGAGAACCGTTTGTGTGACATCTGTAATCTTGCACAGCCACCCTGTGAACTGGTGATGAAGTGGGTTGGGTTTTCTGTCCTTGTGAAGCAATGTTTCATAGATTCTGTGCTTATGACCCATCACCGAACGTACGAGCAGTCCACTGTCCGATGTGTGGCGCCATTACCAACTAATAGTTTGGACGTCCCACCGCGAGAACGATTAAAGGCCCTTCTCAGGGCCACCCACAAATTGATTTAAATTCCTTTTTCCCAATATTGTTTTTGTCTATGGCAAAGGTCAAGTGATTAAGCACTTTTTAATGTCAAATGCATTTAGATATACCTTAGATATTAATAATCGATAAGCGATTATCGCTCATATACTCGTAAACTTGTTTCTAATGTATATTACATATAAAGGTTAAGAAAACAGACAAGATTTTGTTATTTAATGATCACTGATCTATCTACTACTAATACATTTTAATAGGAATATTTTAAAATAGTGAAAATCGTAATTTTGTCGTTAGGTCAATAAGTTTATGATGACATTTATTAGTGAATATAATAAGATAATTACAAAGATGAATGTGATTAAAGCTCATAGAGAAGTAAACAAAATTGAGAAAATTATCTCCCTTATGAATAAGATACTGACATTATAAAACAAGTTGAAGCCGTCATCATTGAAATCAGTAATGCGATTAAAGGTCATATAGTAAGTGTAAAAAGAAATAAGAATATTAGCTGTTTCATGAATACAAAATGCAAGAATTTCATATTCCGGTTTTATATTAAAAGTACCTGAAACCAGAACTATGCGTACGTATGAATTACGTCCAATCGTCAACTAAGCCTTCATTGTTATTCATAACCACTGATTATATCACCGTATTCATTTGCACACCCATATAACTATCAATCACTGGTACAATCACACTATACAGTTATAAGTCCATAATTTCAATATTTTATAAAGGCCAAAAATATGTCATGGCATTAATGAATTTGACAATGTAATGTATTAACAATGGTGAACGTTTACATCTGTTACGATATATATACTTACAAATTGTAATATTTGCAAATTAGAAAGGTCATTCATTAAAGGTCGGGATGATTTGCAGTAAAGTGTTCAGTCACAATAAGTGGAAGAGCATTATAGAAAAATTTAAAATGCAAAAAGTTTTGTGTCAATGAAATACAAAGTAGGAGAATTGAGTCTTGTCAATTGACATAATAATAATGATAAGAAGAACAATAAATAAGAATAATAATAACGTCGAGGTGCACAGAACAAGCTTTGAGACACATATGGAGAAATTCAAACACTTCACTTCTATCTGAAGATTGTGCTGATGATGTCGTTCAGAAGAACGATGAAAGCTCCACGACCAAATCATCCAGCTCAGAGAACAAAACTCCACCAAAATCATCCACCTAAGCTACAAATCTTCTCCACCATCTCAAGAATAACATTTTAAATGTTCATTGATACAGTTGACCTTATTCATATTTATACGTTTAAAATCGATAGATATTTGTTGAGTCAGTCAGACGACGTAGGCTTGTTCATGTACACTTCATGAAACGGATATTTCAAATGCTTGTCAAAAATGGTTACATTCGTTATGTCTAGATAATTCAGGTTTCATATTACGGCGGTTAACAATATTCACACATGACTGATTAAACACACTAGTTCTTATTACGACCAAAAAATTAATTTTAAAATACAGAACCGCAAATAATTTACAAGTGAACACAATAAACCGTTTCAATGGACTTTTAAAATTAACCGAATTGAAATCTGACGTTTTCTAATTCTCATTAAAAATGACCATTTACAAAATAAACGTCCACTAAATATTAAGTGCCTATTTCGGAAAATTTATTACTACTTTCATATACTGTCAAAGTCGGTTCATTAAATGATGGTCTATGGTTGCTTCACCTGAATTATACATATTTTGCAACCAGTAATTTATCATGATGATTTATTGATATGTTGATTTCTTTTTCCCATTAACACACAATGTGTTACGAAAAAAACCTATGCACACACTTCGTTAATAATTTGTTTAATAATTGGGCATTCAGCATTAGACAACCAACCGAATTCAGTAATCACTATGATCAAATATTCAAACCGATTTTCAGTTGCTTTTTCCCTCAACTTTCTTTTAATTAGATACATACAATTATTCGTGTTAAGATAACTAACGACTTCAATTCAAGGTATAGTTGATCGGAAAACAAAAATTTATCCCCAATACACATTCACTAACAGTAGGATTGCACGGTAATGCAATTCAGTTGGTGTCTTTTTCTTCAAAAGTCTAAATTCTTTTTAAGACTAAGATTACACAAAAAAATTATACATTATCATTAAATTTCAAATGTAAAAATGCAAATTCTGACATCCAATCACAGCTTCAGATGCGATTTCAATTTCAACTAATCAGATTACAAAGATCAACAGTTTACGACCAATTACAAAATTATTGAAGGTGACAAAATGTTTGTTCATTATCACTTGAGCACACACTTGCAAAACAAGTCCAACAATCAACGATACCTGTCAACTGTATCCCATGCTTCGCCCCAGATGTTGACGTCTTCATGATCCAGTTTCTTTGACACTGCGTAATTGACTAAAATTAATGGAATATCGCAGTAAAAACTATACATATGTATTCTCGCCTGGCTTTTCAGTGATATCTGTAGAAATTAGGTGAGATGGATTGCCTTAAGACAAGTTTGCAATAACTCTATTAAGATTATGATGAAATGTTGGAGAGAAGCGCAAAACTCGGAGGAAATTTTGGGGAGAAACGCGAAATTTTTCACAATTTTGAGGTTTCATTAATAAATATAAGCCGACTTCCTCGAAGTGTAATAAGATTCTAGGGAAGTGTGTCGAATCTGGTTTCTGAAGTTGATGAAAGATATAATGATGTTTGTTACAAAATCAGTGGATACAATACTTGAAGGATTAGAAATGTAGTGAAAAGTAAGTTAGTATTTTGTATGATTGATTTCTTTCTGTATAAGGAATGAAATTATATGATTTTTTAAAATAATCATATCATATTACCTACCAATTTATAGTAGTAGTATGTTAATTTTTTTGAAAGATTTGTAGGATCAATAGGCTGATTTCATTTAGGTAACTATGAGGGTAAACTCATTTTTAACATAATATTTTCATCAACTTCACGTTACGGTTCTGCCTAATCCACAGCAATTTGGTGCCCCCATAAATGAATTTGTCCAGGAATTAGTTTACGTCGAGCCATAGCAGCTGTTTTGTGATTTTCATATTCGACAAATGCAAATCATTTATTCTTGCTTTTATCAGCTACACTTGGATAAACAATCACATTTTTCACGCCATCATTTACTTTTCACATTTACAACATTAATTCATCTTTCGCTTTCAATTTAGGTATAACACCGATGAATAAATGACAATTATCAATACTGAAACAAACGCCTAATATTTTACCTTTACGAATTTCATAACAATTTAATTCATTTACAGCTCGTTTAGTATCATCACGATTAGTATACATACAAAAAGCATAACCACGATTTAACCCACTAAAATCCACCATTATTCGAGACAGATAAATTTTTTTTTGACTAATTCAAATACAGGAACTAGTTCATCTTCAAACCAATCACGTGGTATTTTACCAATGAATACTTCACAACGATTCGGTGATTTTGGTCCATACCAATTCGGTGATGGACTATAACAACGTTGATCCATTTTTTGTAATAATGGATAAAATGCTCTCTCTGTTAATGTGACTAGTGTTGGGGTGATCCAGAAAACGTCTGACAGAAGACAAGCAAGGATCAGGAAAACACTAAGAAGCATTTTATCCAATCAACGTTCACTTGTAGTTTATCCAAAAACACCAAGAAAGTGAAAAGTCACATGTAGAGTTTCTGATTGTCTGATTACAATACCGCTCCTATGTTAAGTAGCATTTGAGAATCTTCGAGAAACCCAAGGACATCTGAAAATACTATAAAAACCCTATATTTGTACTTGTTGAATCATTCGATTTCAAATTCCCAATACAATACATTCGTTTGCGCTTGTGTCTTACTTCTTAATTCAATTGTGTTATTTCTGGGACTCTTAGTTCGTACTATAATTCTAATAATTCGAAACATTATACTGGCGTCGCGATGGAGCCTGCTATGGAAAAGTTAGATATTCATTCAACTTCTGAAGCTTTTCAGGATTACTTTGAACGGTTCGAAATCTGAGCTATGAACAAGGAAGATGATGAGGATGTTAATACTGTGGCACATTTCCTCACATTCATCGGAAAAGAAACATACAGCTTATTAAGAACTCTGGCTATGTCGGAAAAGCCTATCTCGCTTCCTTATACAACTCTCAAGGAACTGCTGCTAGACTATGTTAATTATACAAATTTCGAGTGCGGTAAAAGAGGGAGATCTCGTAAAATGATTCATGAGGATATAAAATATTCTACTACATTACTACGTCATCCCGACCCAGTACATACTCAAGGCTATGCAGATAATTCATTGAGGAATTGCAATGCATTTCACGAAGATGGGCACAAGTTTGGTCAGTGTTTGTCCTGTGGCATGTTCCACTCTTTTAATTCATGTAAATTTCGTAATTCTAAGTGCTTTACATGTGGTGATATTGGACATATTCAGTCAGTTTGTAATGCTAATGTTCATCTTACTGCAACTAATATTAAGTCTTGTAATTCTGATTCTACTGAGTCGAGTATTCATGATGATCATTTATCTTTATCAACGATTTCAAAAGACAGTGCAGGTTCATATGGCAGTTCAGAGTTAAATGAAATCCAGAATTCTTGTGAGACAACAGTTCCTAATCAACCAACTTATCAGATTTCTCATGTTATTGTATCAAATATGGCTTTTCCTAATGATTCACATATTTCTGATGAAATTTCTTACAAATCTGAGGAAAATATGTTAAATGAACCTAGTCATGATGAAAAACCTGAGGCAGTCTTGATAGATGCTGATTTTTCTAATGATCCATTACTGTGCAATGGCATTCTTAGTAAATTTCATGAAGATGTGTCAGAAGAATCAAATTCTGATGTCATATCATATATAACCTATTTTCATAATGCATTTGATCCTTGTGAAAAACTTGTTCAATGCAAAGCACGAGTACTAAATAACCTAGATTTTGATTACAATTCAGATGACTTCATATCAACTGCTGTTTACCCTTATCACAAAAACAGTTCTAATGTTTACTGTAAACAATGTGAGAAATATGTATTAAATGAAGCCACATTATTCATAACTTGAGGATATAAAGATCCAACATAATTTCGTGAGGGAGGATAGTGTTGAAAAATCTATGGTTCGAATTCTATATATTAATGATTTCATTAGAAAACCGACATGCTGACTGTATACAATTCCAGGTGAGTCTGTTCCAATTTCGTTTGTTAATTCCAATACCAATGAGCACATTCTAGATACTACAAAGGTTTTATCCAATACAATGTCGGACATACTCAGGATGAACTTAACAAGAAGACGTACAACCGATTACAGAAACTTATACACTTATATATTTAAGCTGTGGCGGATGTGGTGTTTGAATTAACTAATAAATCTTTTGTACTTGTTGAATCATTCGATTTCAAATTCCAAATACAATACATTCGTTTGTGCTTGTATCGTAATTCTTGATTCAATTGCGTTATTTCTGGGACTCTTAGTTCAAACTACAATTCAAATAATTCAAATATTATAAGTCTTTACTTGGCTTGAACACATCATATACTTCTAACGTCCTCCTAAATCTATTCGGGTTAGGGACTGTCACTTGACGATTCAGTCAAGATTACTTAGTTGAATATTGCACATAATCATCTCATCTACTTCAATTCTACTTATCTAATATGCGTTTTCTCACAAGAAATATTCTTTAAAAAAACAACACTGAAATAGTAGTGCAAAGCATCTGAATATTTCTGATGACCTCAGTTGTTTGTAGAAATTTCAATGATTATACTTTCTCTTCATCGATCACCTCATTATATTTAATTATTCAAATAATATGGTATTCTCTATTGTGTAGTGGGCGTGATATGAATCTTAATTAGGATGAAGAATATCACTTTCTAATAATATGTTTATGTGACTGATAGTCATCTACTCACACAGAACAGACATGAATGGAATTCTCATTTTACAAAATATTACTGCTTTTGTGAAAAGCAAGCAAATTGCAAACAAATATTTTGTCAGTCAATTGATAGTTAGTCTTGCTTCAGCTATGGATAAACACTGTAACCATTTACTATCTAATTCCGAATTAGTCTAGTGATCGTTTTCATTTAGAATCCACCTTGATAAATATCACAACTCATTGTTCTTTATTACTGCATTCTCTCATCTGGAGCCTCTGATCACATTTCACTGTAACAACGAGAGCTAGTATGAATTTGATCTAATAATTAATCATTCCTATGTCTGTTCCACTACAAAATGTTAAGCATTGTTTATCGTTCATATCCAAGTGCTTTGCTGCTCCTCGGTTTCTTATTTTCAGAATCTTGCTCTGAGGGCACAACTGTGGAACTAACGATATTTAGAACGAACTCGATGTACACGTTTTTCCAAGGTCATAGTTCACACCAAGTCCTCTACAAGTCTAATTTATAACAACTACAAACTTAAGAAGTTGCATTGCATAAATGATTAGCACGACCAACATCCTAACACAATTATGCCGAGATTGGATCTGGTGTGTAACGTGGACGCCATACCACTTTGGAAAATATTTTGTAGACTACTCAGTATATCTAAAGGAATGAACTGACCTTCACTTTTATAGGTCATATTTATTTAACAACCCTGCTTGAGATGCGTACTGTGAAACAATGAATGTTGTAATTTGTAAAGCATGCCTGTAAAAATAGCGTGTACCTGCCATAGCAGAAACATATATTAATATTATTATCAGTATTATTATTATTAAATAATTAATTAAGAGCATTAGAAGAATGTATCTACAATTAACCTACTATGTTTACACAATCCAAAGTCTGTGCGATGATGAGATCAGAGCTGGGACATCTCTAAGATCTTTATTCACCTTCGCTGAAATTTTACTTTACCATTACCAAAATAACAAAGCGATTGAATTTCCTCTAGCAAATCGTATTACTGTTGGGCTTTTCACATTTAAACAGGCAATCAATCATTTTTTGTGCATATCTAATCTCACTGTTTTTTGTTTCATCCAAGTTCTCTTTTCAAATTTACGATTATTCTAATGCTGAGCTTTACTACTCTAACGTTTAGTCAAAATAACCGTTTCGCATCTCATCTGTTCAAATGTCTTATTATTTATGACTTCTGAAAATCTACATAACACTTGAACCAGTATTATCATCATTACTGTTGTCACCATTATTATGATTACTTAACAGTCGTGTCTGCAATTACAGTTAATTGTATCTTTTAGTCAACCCTATGATTAACAAATTGAACTCGTTCACCGCGATTGATTGTCTACTGCATGTTCTGTCTTAATATAAAGCAAACTTGCATGGTTTTGTGGAAAAATTACAATTGATAAATCACTGAATGTTAGCCAACTTTTTATTTGTCTTATCTTTTAGTATTGATCAGATTTCAACGATTAATGAATTGTAATGAAATTTAATTAATTGTAAACATCTCAAAAGTACCAGAAGCGAGTTACGGGTCTAATTAGCTCAATGATTACCCCTCAGACTGTTTATTTGGATAGCACGAGTTTGAATCTGTTTGGAAGCGTTAGACCTCTATAACATGTAGATACGCTTCGTTCATTAGTGTAGACTAACACGAATTACGTTTAGCATCATTCAATTTGAAACAGTTGTTTCGAAAAATATCTTTGTTTTTCGCTCATATCTTATGAAACTAGTCTGACGTTTGTCTAAGCTCAATATTCGCAGTGTTTATTCAAAGTTCCGATATTTCGATAAGGCTACCGAATTCGCAAGCTTTTTTAAAGAAATCGACCCGAAATCATATGCTTATTTTGAGTCGGTGACTGCGAATCCTCATATGGGGTATCACTGAGTGAGGTGTTCTGACTCATTACAGTGCAATGATGACGTTTCATTCTAATGAATGCTGAGTATTCTAATTTATTTACGAGTTGACGTTTATCTGTATTCCTGTCTGTGTAAAACTCAATGAACGACAGTGTTTCCAAACTCGAAAGAATCAATGACAGGAATGGGTGCCGTTGACATATGAAAATCGATTCGTCAAATTACTTGATCAACTGACAGTGATTCCAAAAACGATGACAATACGAATGATGAAAGACAACAGCAAGTGTAATGGAAGTCTTTGTTTCGAAAATCTTATTGACGTAATGAGCAAGCCAGCGTAAATATTTGTGACATGTGTGTGGTGCAACGATAGTGGAAAAACTCAATGAAAGCGTTAGAAGAATGGCGTTTCGAGAGTCAACAATATTACTTGATCATCGTTACAGAGAACAGTTCATCATGATATGAAAAAGACCAACCCAAACACAAACGACTACGACATCATCTGTCGATCATGAACAAAAACAGACATGAAAAGAGGGCTCAATATTATTATCAGTGGAACTTCATTACG